CTGCAACATTGCCAAAACTTCACAAAGCAATGTGTAACATTGCTTTTTTCATTGTAAAGAGGTATATGCAAGTTGCAATGTTAAGTTGCATGGTAGCTTAATCTTCCGCCAAATAACACTGCAGTGCAAGTTTGAAAAAAATAATGTTAATGCAAGTTTATTGAAACTTTGTCACAACCTCGTGAGAACATTTCACAATATTATTGAAACGTTGCTAATGTAACGTTCAGGAACTCACATATTGGTAAAATAATATTGTATCTATATTTCAAAACTTATTAGGTATCCATTAAACTCTCTAGTTCGTTAAAACTTATTAACTGACTTATTGCTAAAATAATATAGCAAAAAATCGATAATGTTCGCAATAAAAAACGATTTCATTCGTGGGAGAGTATATATAAAAATTATATGTTTTAATATTTACTTGTCAATTTAATGTAACAGTTTTTTCTTGCAAAACATTAGCAATTTTATGCAATTTTAAGTTAACAATAATATATACACAACCAAACTTATATGGAATCACTCTTTATTTCTGACTAAATTTCTTGCAAGGATAAAAATCGGTATACAACTTTAAGATAAGGCTTTTTGTTGTAAATAAACATGATAATAAAGAATAAACGACTGCTGCGATTTATTTTCTTTTGAATTTTGTGTTCAGTAGTAAAAATCACGATTGTCCGGTAATTTTCATTCAATCCAAAAAAAATAAAAAATGCCTTATGTTGGATTAACAGATGTATAGAGGGGAAGAATTATTGCTCTCACCGAACAAGGAATGCTCCAGAGAGACGTAGCAGAGATAGTAGGCGTTACCCAGGGTGTTGTATCGAAAACACATGTAAGATACTTGGAATTAGGAACACACAAGGATAGGCCCATACAAATTCGCCAAAGAGTCACAACTAAACAACAAGACCGCCTTGTGTGCCAAATTAGTAGAATAAATGCCAATGTTTCTCATCCAGAGCTACAAAGACAACTTCTGGCAGCTACAAGTGTGAACATTTCAGTTGAAACCATAAGAAAAAGTCTTCGTGCACGAGGGTTTTACAGTAGGAGAGAAATACGGATCCCATAGCTATCTCGGCAAAATAAAAATGACCGGCTAAATTGATGCCTTCAACATCAAAACTGGACAACTGAGAACTGGCAAAATGTTCTTTTTTTTCGAATGAGAGCAGAATTGGCCTAAGATCAGATAACCATCAAATTCGGGTTCTTAGAGCTCCAGGAAGATGAGCGAGACTTCAGGCTGCCAAATTTGTACCAAGATATAAAGTAGGAACTGTAATGTTCTGGGAAGGTATTATACTAGGAGTAAAAACTCCATTGTTACCACTTCAACAAATTTTAACGGGTCGGAGATATGTTGATTTGGTGCTAGAACCAATCGTTAGTCTTTGGAGAGCTGCAATTAGTTATAATTTTAATTTAATGCGCGATAGTGCACCTCCCCATACCAGCAGAGTGACTAAAGAACGTCTTGAAACGGAAGGTGTCATAGTTTTGGACTGGCCTGCCTATTTACCAGATCTAAACCCTATCGAACACTTGTGGGACTAGCTCAAAAGAAGGGCTAGAGCTCGTCGAAACAATCCAGGAAATCTCGCACAGCTTATTGATGCAGCATTAGCATAATGGGAAAACATACCCCAAGACAACGTGGTTAATTTAACAAGAAGCATGCCGGCGCGGATAGAAGCTTGCATAAGGGCTAGAGGTGGCAACAAAGAATATTAAAATTATCAATTTTCTTTTTGTTTAAGCTTTTTGGCAATTAAAAATTTAAATCTTAATTTCGTTTCAGAAACCAAAAAAATACCATTTTGTTTATTTTGGGAACTGATTATTTTTTTTTATTGCTATATGGATTATTTTTCATTAAAAGTCATTGGTAAGGAGTGAGTTTTATTCATAAACAGAAAAATTTCTACACCCTGTATCTCCGAAACTAAGCATTTTGGGACATTCATTTATACGAACTTTTTTACTTATTTTTATCTGCAGAATATGCTGCCGAAGTTTCCGGAATACAATTCGGACCACCCTGTATATCAGAATATATCTACAGGGTGGTCCGAACTGTATTCCGGAAACTTCGGGAGCATATTCTACAGATAAAAAGAAGTAAAAAACTTCTTATAAATGTATATCCTAAAATGCTTAGTTTCGGAGATACAGGGTGTAGAAGTTTCATTTTTATTTCGATTTTCTCCAAATAATTTCTGAAGTAACGTCAATATTTGGATGAAAATTGGTGTCTGATAGTTTTTTAACATGATAAATTTGATTTTTATGTCATTATGACTCCTATTTGTAGAGGGCGCCACCTACATGTGTTTTAACTGTTTTGAAGAGTAATAACTTTTTGTCCGTACCTGTATGGAACTGCTGAGTGAAAAAATATACATTTTCATATTTTTTTACGTAAAAAATGTCTCTTGGTAAAAATTGTTAAGAGCAACCCTTCTCGAGATATTTAGAATGGGAATAGTCAATACATGTCATTATTGACAAAAAATAAACATGTTGAGGAGATAGTTATTGGAGTAAAAAGATAAATTTGGAAAATTTTTATTTTTTTAAACTAATCTTAAAATTTTCTTCGAAAAAATGATCATTGGTGATGATTTGGCACAAAAAAATTTCAAATTTATGAATTCCGTCTATTAACTATTTAGTCAACATTTTTAATTTATGTCAATGACGACAGGTATTGATAATTTCGATTTCATATATCTGGAGAACTATTACTCGCAGCGATTTTTATTAAGGGATCTTTTTTACGTTAAAAACGTCGTAAATGTATATTTTTTTACTTAGTAGTTTTATACAGGTACGGACGAAAAGGTATTACTCTTTAAACCAGTTAAAAATATGTAGGTGGCGCCCTCTACAAGTAGGAGCTATATTGACATCAAAATCGAATTTCCCATATCAAAAAACTCCCAGACATCAAATTTCATCCAACTATTGATGTAACTTCAGAAATTATTTGGAAAAAATCCAAATAAAAATGAAATTTCTACACCCTGTATCTCCGAAACTAAGCATTTTAGGATATACATTTATAAGAACTTTTTTACTTATTTTTATCTGCAGAATATGCTGTCGAAGTTTCCGGAATACAGTTCGGACCACCCTGTATATCAGAATAATATATAACAGATACGAGAATATAGATACGATAAAATTTTACTGATATGGTATCGACGAAAAACAAACAAATATTGATAAAAATATGCACCTCTCCATATCCATTGACTTAGAAAAATTAAAAGTGCTCGGTAAATATACCTACCAAGAAAACATAATAAAAATTAGATATTTATCACTTACTTGTTTCAGAAATATCAAAAATACTGTGTGCCCATTAAATAAGGAATTACTCAACTCTGACTTTTAGCCTGAAATAAGACAAATTATATAGTTGTGGTATAAACATTGTTATACAGGGTGTTTCAAAACAAATGCGAAAAACTTCAGGGGGTGATTCCTTGTTCAAAATAAAGGGTAGTTTGCTTCATAAACGTTGGGTCAAAAGTCAACCATATTAGGGAGATATCGCGGTACAAAGATGGCGGAAAAATAATGTTCTTATTTTTTATCTTGAAAACGAAAAGAGATAGACTAATGAAATTTTATGGAAGCATTACTGTTAGAAAACACACTTTCTGGTAATCTTTTCACTTTTTTAAAATAAGTGGAAGGGGTTGAAATAAACTACCCCTATGATTCTTGTTAACGAAATTTAAAGAAAAATCTTATCAAACACATGCAAAAAAATTAATTTGGATAGTTTAGTTTGTTTAGAAACTTTTTTATCTCTTGTAGTTTTTTTATAAAACTCGCCGATTTGAAATTAAAAAATAAAATGTAAAGCATTACATGTCAGGGACTAAAAATATTTTTAGATTAAGAATCTGGTGATAATAATGATAATAATAATAATCTAGATAGTAACGTATTGCATGATATTTTGTTAGCATGGTTCGTGTTTTTCTTTCAATATTATTTAAATCTATTTATTACACCAAATGTAAATGTAATCACTGGGATCCAATATGTATTTATGGCACTAACAAGATTTTTTCCACTGAGCTTCGTTTTGAGAAGACTTTCTACTCTTTTCAGATAATTTTCTGTGGCATTGTGCTTCATTGCTTTGTGTTCGGTGCGAGTGGATTGAAGTACAACTAGGTATTTATACATGTCCATGTTGTTCATAGCTTCGATTATACAATATGATCGAAAAAAATTAAGAACATTTAAAAAATAAGTCATTTTATATGTAAAATTATACGAGAAATGTCATCGATCTTCATTTCCAAGCCAACTTGATGCTGTTTTTTTTTATACGGTTGCAGTTTGTAGATGTCGGATATCCGGTGTCGTGATAAATCCTCGATATATCGTCGAGATGAACACCGATGTTGTAGATTATCACCGGCGTCGGTGTTGTAGATCAACACCAGTGTTGGTGTTGACACCGGTACATGACTGAAACACCGGTTGTCATCAACATCTAAAACCGGTGTTCAAATCTCAACACCGAACAGTACGTCCAGTTGCAAAATTATGTGTTCTTCCCACACAAGACTTTTTATTGAAATAAATATTTTAAGGTTGGCGCCAGCGGTATGTTAACTGATAAGGTTTTAATAATTTATACCAAGATGCTCAAAAACCCTGTCATCGACACAGTTTTTGTTTGAATAATAATAATTTTATTGACTATCTGTCAAAATATGTTTAAATGTAAGTATAAATATAATTTTTAATTAACAAATGGGACTCAAATGATTTTAAAGTGTTTACAGTCCACTTAAACATTACACTTATCAAATAAGTTCGTTTAAATAATCAATATAAATCAAGTATATAAATCCGTAATATTTTCCAAGAGTTATTAAAGAGATAACCAAATTGTATTCTTATCAACGTTTATCGATAAATTCAATATTACTTATCCACTATATATCTACTCTACTTAAATTAGAACTACTAGAAATACCGTATATAGTATTATCATAATATTCAAGTGCACATTAGTTAGAAATTTAAACATTACATTAAATAATTCTAAACCAGTCCACATTGCTAAAGTTTTTTGAAGAATGGATATGGAAGATACAGAATTTATGGGAGATATAGAAATGTCAGAATTTACAAAATACTCTAATTTTCTAAAGTCTGATCATGTTCTTGAAAGCGTACTGAAAAATGAAGTGGAAGATTTAATTTTAAATGAAGAACTCATAAAATGGGGATTTAACAAATTTAATGGACAAAATATCATTTCGATTGCTTGCAGCACATCAGAGGTAACAGAACAAACACTGGAAATACTACTGAAGTATGTATTTGACAACTTTTCTGATATAGATCTAAGAAATGAAGATTGGTATTATTGGGAACCGATTCATTATGCTGCTCGGAATGCAGATTACAACAAATTAATAACAATTTTGAATAGTCCCTACAAAAAGAGAATAAATATATTGTCAGTTTTTTCAGAAAATGCATTACATGTATTACTAAAATATAGAAAGAAATCCAAATCATTCAACGTGGATCTTGCTTTAAATAGATGGGAAAAGAAAACATGCCGCGTCATATCTGAGGAGAAAGATAATTTACTAAATTGTGCTGAAGCTTTGATCAATGCAGGAATAGACGTAAACCACAAAAACATTTGGTGTGAATCTCCAATAATTATAGCCCTTAGGTACAGATTTCTGAAGGTATTAAATCTTCTTCAGCGTCAACCAAACATTGACATAGATTCTTGTAAAGATTTAGCACTTAATAAAACAGCGCGGGATATAATGAAAGAGTATGATATAGACTTAAATGGTATTCTATTCTCTTCTGCTGTGTTTAATGATCCAATCAATTTGCTTTTTACATTACTTAAGAGCAACAGCGAAGATAAATTCCTACTTTACAACAACAAAGATATTAGGGAATATTCTAACGCCTTTGACGGCAAAGATGGTGTAACTACAAGTGGTAATTTGTTACAACTATGTCTTGTCAAAGGCTTTATTGCCTATCAGAAAGAAATCAGAAAAGAACATTCAACGGACTTCAACAAAGACATCATGAAGACTCAAATGCTTGACGTATTTTGCCGCAAAGGAATGGTAAAGAGTTTAGAACACTTACTTGATAATAACGCAAGCGTAAAACAGAGACACAGAATGTTCCAGAAATTAAACACCTTCGATCTTGCAATAAAACTAAGGTATTATCCATTTCTGGTAATGATATTTCAACATAGATCAAATCAAATACGACCATGTGACATTTTGAATAAATTGAAACTAGTACATAATACTAACAATCCAAACGACTATTATTTCAGGCATGTTCTCTTTTTACTGTTAAGCAAGCTGGACACTTTTTACTACAATACCGACGACACTTTTTATGACAATGTCAAAATATTAGATAATGTCGTAGATTTCTGTATTAAAAACAACAAGAACAATATGTATGATGAAGTTATCTACCTGGCTCTGCGATTAGGGGCTCATTTATGTTATAGAAAAAATAGCGGAGCTGGTGTCAAATTAGAACTTCTGTGTTCTGAAATCTTAAGTAATCATCTAGATCAGTGTATCGATGCTCATAATAATATCTGTTATAACAGTATAATATTTGACGATGAAAATCACTATTCTGAAGTTGATGTTATACGAAGATTATATCACAGTAACAAAACAAGTGAGCTACTTAATCATCCAGTGCTTATTAACTTGATCCATGAAAAATGGAGTAAAAGCAAATACGTCTTTTATTCAAATTGTATTCTCCATTGTATATTTTTGGTTGTATTGTATGTCTATATGATTTATTTGAAGATTAATGCCGTTCCTCAGATCGTACTCTATGTATTTTGGGTTTTTGTAACTTTTTTTTCATTAGTGGAGTTGTGTGAAATATGTATATACAGTTTTAGATACTTTTCGGACCCTATGAACTACATTGATCTGTCAGTGCTGCCTTGTAGTATTTACAATATTTATTCTAAGGATGAAAGAGTTATGGTAATAGCGATATTGCTATATACCATTAAAGTTTTATTGATATTTGGGCAAATACCAATATTTACCAAATACATGATCATCTTTAGTTCAACTAAATACTTTTTCGAATATGTTCTATTCTACTTCGTCCAATTCTTCTCATTTGCCTTGTGTTTCTTTATTTTGCTCACCCCAGAATCTGAGTTCAATGTATTGGGGCAAATTTTCGTAAAACTATTTGAAAGCCTATTTTTCTTTATAGGGCAGTATGATGGGGAAATATCCCATCCCATTAATTTTCCTATCTTTTCCCGAATAATAATTACTTTGTTCATATTTTGCATGACATTAATTCTTAACAACCTATTAGTAGGATTGATTGTAACTGATATGGATATACTTAAAAAAAGAAGCAAGTTGATGCGTCAATTAAAAATGGCTAAATACGTCGTCAGGGTGGAAAAGTTAATGAATACTTTACCATATTTGGCAAGTTTAAGTCTGGATATCAGTCTGTTTCACAGGAGAGAAGAGAAATGTCTTTACTTATCCATGGATATATTGGACGAAGACGATAAAGAATACCTAAATAACATTGATAGAAGCAAAAAGTCTTCGGCAAGCATTTTAGCTGCCTTACACGGTTTCATAAGAAAACAAGATGATGTCCCAAAACACAAGCAGAAGACGAACGAATCTTTAGAAGAATTAAGCTCTTGCGAGACTATCGACCCTATCGAATCCAATGAATTTTACTTACAACTATACCTAAGGTCCCCCACTCCCCAATCTTCGCGAAGATGTTCATCATTAATGTATAACCAATACCATCCTATATAATTAACTGGCACTGAAATTAGTCTTGAAAAAACTAAAAAATATAATAATATAATTTTCTTTAGTACAACATTTTAAGAAGATCAACTTTTCAACTAGGATAAAAACAATAAGAATATGAGATAACAATTAGTAGATGATAGCCACACTCACTAGCTATGGATATTAAAATTTTAGAATTTTAAGCTGATAAACAAGACAAAACACAAGGACGTTAATCGTTTGCAGTTGAGAAAACAAAATGCATATAAATTAATAGAAAATAGATACAAATCGGCAAATCACGGCCCCCAATAAAAGCCATATCCCAACTTTAAAAATCTGTAATTTTATTAATTTCTGTATCGTTGGAAACACCGAGGGTTAAGTTAGATGAGCATCTAATTCAAGTTACAATGTTACAATGTCAACTCTGGTAGCGCTTTGGAGGAAATCGTCGTTGATGTTGAAACTGCTGTTCAGCACTTGCCCGAGGCTTCTAAAGTGTTTACAAGAGAGGCTTGTAGAAATCAGTTATCAAAAAATATCGTTTCAAGTAATTCATTAAAATCTAACAAAGAGCACAATATTGTCAAGAGTTTGCGTAACAAGGATTGTTTCTATCTAAAAGCTGATAAGGGAAATAAGGTTGTTATATTAGATAAAAAAGGCTATTACGATAAGGTTAACAACTTAATCGATAATGGCCCCTACATAAATTTGAAAAAGAATCCTTTGTCTAAGATGGCAGCAGACGTTAAAAAAAAACTCTAAAAGAATGTAACACCCTTATTGATCTTTCTTTAAAAGAAGAAATTGCAAGTATCCAATCCCTCATTACTGTATTGTATGCTTTGCCAAAAATTCATAAACCGGACAAGTCTCTGCGCCCAATTGTTTCGGCTGTAGGTTCTCCGACTTATAATTTGGCAAAAATGGTTATCAAGGGAGTTCGAAAATTTACCTGATCATGAACCTTCTTTCTCAGTTAAAAATAATATTGAATTCATTAACAAAATTAAAGATATAACATTGCATGAAGGTGAAATTTTGGTCTCCTTTGATGTATCTTCGTTGTTCCCAAGTGTTCCAATTCCACATAATTTTGGCTACTTGAAGGAATTACTGAACGCAAATGGTCTCGACAACAAAACTGTGAGTGAATATATTGAGCTTACATCGTTATGTATGAAACAAAATTGTTTTTCAATTTAATAACAACTTTTTGAACAGCGGGAAGGTACAGCAATGGGTAATCCATTGTCTCCATTTTTGGCTAATTTATTCATGAGCAGGTTTGAAGTGGAGGCTAAGAATCAGTTTGAGTATTTTCCAAGAGCATGGTTTAGATATGTGGATGATATTTTTGCTGTTTTTGACACACATTCAGACACCATAGATAATTTTATTTCTAAGTTAAATAATCGTTTTCCTTCCATAAAATTTACGCATGAAATTGAGAACAACGACAGATTACCATTTCTAGATGTATTAGTTATTAGAAATTCTAATAATTGCCTGGAATTTGATATCTATAGGAAAAATACGACCACACGCAGATATATTCCTAATGAATCACAACATAGTGTTGAACATAAAATGGCTAGTTTAAATTTCTTAGTTCATAGATTACTTAGTTTCCCACTTTCCAACGAAAGATATGAAATAGAAAGAGATTATATTAGGAATGTAGCTGAGTGTAATGGATATTCTCCTTCACTAGTTGATAAATTAATTAGAAAACGTAGGTATAGGTTAATGATTTCTGAAAATTCAACTTTTCAAGTGGAGAAAGATACGTCTAAATATCTTTCGATACCGTTTGATAGAGAGTTATCCCGTGGTCTAAAAGGAATTTTTAAGAATGTCAATTATAAACTTATGTATAGTGCTAATAATAAATTACAGCAATTATTAGGTAATCCAAAAGATAAGACACCTCCACTGGAAAGGTCGGGTATTTATGAAGTTTGTTGTAAAGATTGTAATCAGAAATATGTTGGGCAAACTAGAAGATCAATATTAACTAGATTTAAAGAACATTTAGCTCAGATAAGATATGGTAGACCGGATAAATCTTGCGTTGCCGAACATATTGTTGATAAAGAACATTGTATAGATCTTAATAATTTAAAATTAATTAAACAAGTCTCAAATTACAGGCAATTAGATGCATATGAAAGCATCAGAATTAATAAATGTAAAGAGAGTATGAACAGAGTCAACGGTCCAATTCCTTCAAGTTCTTTGTTCCTACTACTCTAGTGGCGGAAATCTAACTGTTACGCTCAGTGGGCTCTGACTCGGTTGGCTAGATTTTGCCACGCCCACTCGGTGCCCACTGAGCGAGTATATAAACGCTCAACTTGTAGATTGTACTTTAGTTTATAATCATTTGCTGATGATGCTAACATGGTTAGCGAAACGCTCGTCCAGTGTAAAAGTAAAAGTGTTTTGGTGTATTGTGGTGATTTAGTGTTTTTATTTTGCTGTGTAACACCAAAGGTTCCAACCCTCAACTGTAATTTACAATGTTATCTATTTAAAAAGAAATTTAGTGTATTAGTTTTAAGGAATACAACTCTATTGTATAGGACTGACTTTACGTACTTATTTCTACTTAATACTGTTATTTTACATTAATACAACATTTATATTTACTTAATTTGTTTTTAGATTTATATTTTATGTTAAAAATGTTAATTTTATGTTAAGAATTCTAAATAAAATCGATATGAAACCAGTATTTTTCTGAAATGTAAACTACCATAAAAAAACTGATTAAATTAACAACCTAAAGTGCTTTGGTCGAGATAATTAACAGTATTAATCATTCTAAGGTGTGTACATCGAAGATAAGATATCAAATTAATGATAAGTGGTATGAATGAGTATAAATTAAATCGAAACAAATGATGCCAGAAATAAAAGTTTGCTTAAACTGAGTCATGAATTTTAAAACTTATATTTTGAAACAGCTTTCAGATGAGTTAAATTATTATTGCGATCTGTGCAATATATTGATAAACACTCACGATAAGGAAAACCATCTGAATGGCAACAAACATAAATACAAACTTCGGAAAAAAGAACCCAGTAGATAATTAAGGGTTGTTATAAGATGTATGTAGTTATTTTAAGATATTTTCAGAATCCAATGATAGAGGCGCAGAAGTTAGGTGTACAACTTGCGATAGAAAATATACCAACGATGAATTTTACAAAATTCATATGAGAACTAAAACACATAGGAGAAATTGTCGCAAGAAAGAAATTGAGTTTAATGTAGGGCGTAAAAAATATGGAGATTTTAGTAACGGAGTAAAGGTAGGTAGAGTAAACTAGAATAGGAAGTATAGATTGTGAATCTTATTTTCGGCACTGGTGTCGTATTAGAATACTTAAGTTCTATCTGGACGAAGGTCATTTTGAGAAATCGCTTGTCAAAGATTTGAGTTCGTATATTTTTGTTAATTTAGAACTTTTACAGACATTTGTACACAGATAGTGCTAGTGGTATTAAAATATTTTAAAATTGGATGATATAGAACCATATTAAGCAAAAAGTGCAGATAGAACCATGTCTAACACGACGCTTTGTCGGAGCCATTGTTGACGTCGTCTGTACAAATGATTTACAGTCTCAGTATTTCGGAAATACCCTACAGCAAACTGAAATAGCTAGAGATAAAACTAATGTAAATTATTTGTATCTGTTTGTTTTTTCTCAACTTCAAAGTAAACATTTTTGCTCTAAATGAGAACAAGTGGTGCACTTCAACAATCAATGATATCTCTCCAACCAACTACGTCATGTCGTCAAAGAGACTGCTGTTATTTATTAGAAATTGACATAAAAGTTTGTTGGCAATTAGTGTTGAATTTAGATTTAACAGTTTTCAGACACTAGGCAATTTGCAAAAAAATAAAGTTGTTCCGTGTGTCTAAAGGGATCGCACCGCGATTAAAAAACCGATACAATGGCACAAAGTGTCAGAGTGGTGCGACCCCAAATACAAAATAGAAATAAATTAAATTATAGAAATAAACAAAATTAAAAAAATTAAAATTATATAAAAAGTGAAAATATAATTTTATTAGGGATGAGCGGAGATAAGCAGAGAGGCATAATGAAACAGTGTAAAAACAGTGGAACAGCAACCAATGACGGGCATATCAGAAGAACAAGATCTCACAAATCAATCGAAGAAATTATAATATTTACGAATTTAGTAAATGATTTTTAATTTGTTTTTTATAATCTGTAAAGGATTAAAATTTAAAGTTATTAGAAATATTATTCCACAAATGTGGCTCCATGAAACTGAAAGATTTTTGGAAGTTAGCTGTTCGGTTTTGAGGAATTTTAAAATAATGCACTTGTCTAGTCGAATGATCATGGTCAACGTAGTGAAACAATGAGAACAAATAGAACAAATAGGGAGGCTGCTCTGTAGTTAAAATTCGATAAATGAATGTCATTAAATGAAATTGTCGTCTGTTAGTCATGGATAAAATAGATAAATTTTTAAGATGTGGCGTTATATGACCTCTAAAAGGAATGTTAAAAGAAAACCGTAGACACGAGTTTTGAAGTATTTTGATTTTTCTAGAGAATCTAGCGTTTATGGATGTACCATAAACAACAACAATCGCCATAATCAAATAAAGATAAAAATAAGTGTACATCACATAACTGATACTTAGTCTTTGATGGTATATATTTCTTAAGAGACGAAAAATTCTTCAACCGTATATAAGCAGCCTTTAATTTAGTAGTTATATGTGCCTGAAAAGAAAGCTTCGCATCAAAATAGACTCCAAGATTTTTAGTCTCTGTAACAATGCGTATCGCAACATTATCTATATGGATATTCATGTTACCAGCCGTATTTGTAATTTTGTTTATATCACTACCAAATACTATAACACAAGATTTACCGGCATTTAATTTCAAATTATGATCCAGAGCATATTTATTAATTTTATTAAGATCGTCGTTAAAATTTAACTGAAATTGTGCCAAATTATTAGTATCTATTCTGCAATAAATTTGAGAATCATCTGCATATTGCTGCAATTCAGAAAACTGTAATTCCTTATTCATATCAGCTACATATAACGAAGATAAAAGTGGCCCCCAGAATAGATCCCTGAGGAACCCCAGAAATCATAGGAATATAACTAGATTTTTGTTTTAAACTTCCCTGTTTCATGACAACACAATGTGATCTATCTTTTAAAAAGGTTTTTATCAATTCTAAAGAGCCGTCTGAAAATCCAAAATACTGTAATTTTGCTAGGAGCAATGAATGGTCTAGAGTATCAAATGCTTTACTAAAGTCTAGTAAGCTAAGACATGTCATATTTTTATTTTCTTGATTTGTTCTAATATCATTAACCAGCTTCAGTAAACAAGTGGTAGTGCTGTAGTTCTTACGAAAACCAGATTGGGCATTCAGGTATTAGTTTATTTGAATCTACAAATGAAACGATTTGATTATGTAAATGTTTTCCTATAATTTTAGAAATTGCTGGCAAAATACTCACGGGTCTTAGATCGGTGTTATTTAAAGGTTTGGAAATTTTACAGAGAGGTGTTATAATAGCTTTTTTCCATATTTCGGGATAGACATTGTCTAAAATAGAAGTATTAGTTATATTTATTACCGCTTTACCACAGTAAGGCATGCACAGCTTTAGTGCTTTAATTGATAAATCATCTTCACCGACAGCATTAGACCGAATAGAATTTAATATTTGATGTAACGATACCTCATCTATTAGTTTGAAATTTAGAACATTATTCCCTATTTTTTCATGCTTATTTTGTCTATAAAAATCTATTTTTTTATTTGATATACTATTAATGCAATTCTGACAGTTCGAAAAAAAAATATTAAGCTTATCTACATCCGCTAAGTTTTCAGGAACTTCCGGACTTGATTTAAATGTTAACTTAAGTCGTTTAGCATCTTTCCAGAAGTCTTTACCAGTCTTTTCCGATAAACCCTTAAAATAACTAATTTTTTCTCTAACTATAGCATGTTTTGTAAAATTCCTGAGTTGACGATAATATTGTAATTTGGCTTCAGATCGTTGTTTTAAATATTTTTGATGTGCTTTGTCTCATCTCAATCTCTTGATGTGCTTTGTCTCAAGTTTGATTAATAATTTAATGTTATCCGTTATCCAGGGTAAATATGGTTTATCTGCAATTTTCTTCTTTTGCAACGGTGCATGTTTATTGAGGAGATAAAAAATGTAATTATATAGAGTTTTTATTTTAATATTAATATCCGCTATATAAAAAATATTTTCCCAAGGTAACATAATTGCATCTTTTTTAAAATTTTCCTGGTTAATATGATTATAATCTCTATATTCAATATATTTCGTAGAGTTTTTCTCGGCTTTATCCCATTCATCCCTATTTGGAAACGCGACGTTGTAGGTGCGTGTCAAGAGTTGGAGTGGTGTTATGAGATCCGAGACCATTTCCAGAATCTCATCCGACTGTAGTTCGTCTACTAGTCGGTTTTGTTCGGTTTGGTTTGGTTTAGATTAAAAATATTATTTAAATAGTTCATTTATATACCGTTAAACTGTATCAACTACAAGGTTTTTGGCAAGACAGTTATAAGGTAATAAATTTTGTATGATTTATGAAAATGTATATGTTACGGTTAAGGTCCGATGTCCGGTTAATGTCGACATTACCCGGTTAATCTCGAGAATAACACACAACAAAACAACCAAAAACATAACCTAACCCTAACATTAACCTGTTAATGTCGACATTAACCAGACATCGGACTTTAACAGTAACATATATATTATAAAGGCTATTCTTATTTATACAGGGTGTCCCAGAAACAAGTGCAAGTATTTTAACTAGTAGTATAGTTCGACCCCAAAAATACGCCCATGAGATTTTTGCGAAAAAAAATGTTGAAAATTTTATATTTTTCTTGACATTTTCTGGAAAATATTGAAAAACTTTTGAGTGCCGCTTGTTCAGTTTCCGGAAATTTGTTTATAGTGCTTCGATAGAATGAAATGTTGCCACCTCCTACGTTATCCATATTCTGTAAATAAGTTTTATAAGTTATAAGTTCACATTTTAAAGGGTATAGCCGGATTAATATCTTTTGCCGGAAAATCTGCTCCCGCGGCTTTTTCACTCGCACTCAGGGGATCGATTTGGTGTCGAATCAAAATAATTCACCTAAATTTTTAGCTCTCTAACTCAAACGGTTTTCGGGATTTTCAAAAAAAAAATGTTTTTTCAATTTTTTTTTTATTTTTATTACAAAATTAAAAATTCATTAATGATGATTTTTTTTCTAATTCTTAGAAAGACATGAAAAAATAATATGATCGTGATTCTTAAACGAAAAGCTGATTTTTAGCGGAGGAAAGAAAATTAAAATCTTCATTTCTTTACCCTTTGTGAAATATGTCACTCACTAAAAATCGTCAGAAAATTTCTTTTATACTTCTTTACACTCAGGAATTTTTTAAAATTTTTGAAGTGGTGGAACAATATGAAAAAAATTTTTAATTTTTATATATATTATTTAATTATTATATATATTTATATAGTTTTTAACTATATTTTTTTAAAATCTTCTGTTTTAACTAACATATTTTTTTTAGTTTAAAAAAATGCGTAGAAAATATTTTTACTTCAAATTCACAATGATATTTTTTATTACACATTTTCAATCATATTTCTGCGCAATGATTACGGATTACGTAAAGACTGGGTTTTTGAAAAATACGCGACGCATTATAACGCCATCTACTATTTATTCATAGAAAATAATATCTAGATAATAATAGAAAATAAAATAAAAACAATTATATTTCTGAGTTATTTGATCGTAAAATATAGATATAGTTTCAATACCGGGTGCGTCACAAAAGTGGTTCACCCCTATAACTTTTTTGTTTTTTCAGATAAAAAAACGAGATTTGGTATGTTAGTATATGACATAAATTAGGATTGATTGACACATTCAATTGTTTATAGTCACTTTCTGTTTCACCAGACATGACTACAATTTTTTGATTTTCAAATGGCACCCTCGGTATTTTTTTACTTTATTCAAAAAACACTCTGAATAGAATGACATATCATGTGTCAACTTTTGACATTTCGCATATGGTTTAATTATAACTTTCGGTTCGTAACGAAAATTTGACTACCAAAATACCAAGTGTGTGGTATCAAATTATTCGTAAAAAAATAAAGAGGGCCTCTTTACACCATCTTCAAGACGAGCTTCACTGCAAGGTAAGTTATTTTCATTATTTAACACATAACAAAATTTTAATTAACTTGTTTCAGACACTTTTAGTCTCGAAAATTATATAGAACCTACATATTACAAAAGCGTTAAGGAGGTAAGAAAAACTGGGTATTTACCAGGTTTATATTGCAGGCAGTGCCGGACTTAGACATCCAGGGCCCCTAGGCACTTGACAATTGTCCCCATGTCATAGCCAATTTGGAAATTTTACCGAATTAAATACACTAGTACAGAACATATAATTTTTAATCGAGTTTAATGACTTTAACCTTTAAGCTAATACTTTCAATAAAGCGTTTTGATAAGCCAGGCTTTTGAGCTTATACATATATAAAATCCGGCCCTGATTGCAGGATATTTTGTACTAGTATTAGGCCAGTAAGCGAGGGTTTTAGGGTCCGAATTCTGAACACCCGCACCGATTGACATGAAATTATAACAGTGAATAGAGATATATGTAAGAACAAAAGTTACATAGTAGCGATGTGTGCTTTCACCATGGGGGTGAGTGCCACTCCTTCTAGGGGGTTTCTCACGACAGAAAATTATTTATGAATTTTATTTTCCAAAAAAAAATTGAAATGAATTCAAAATGAGTCAATGTGACGTTGCTTTTTTTGGGGATCACAAGGTGTTGTACAGAGAGGGTGAGTCAACGATAGAGTAAAGTCCATTATCTCATTTGTTTCGAGGTTAGAGTTAGAGGAATAGAGTATACAGGGTGCTTCAAAAAAATGTCGCGAATGTAAAATATGTTTTTTTTAAATGAAACGCAATATTTTTTATTTTATTTTTTGATTCTGCGTAAAATTTCATAACTTTTTTATATGTAATATTATATACCTAAAATTAATAGTTTTTGTCATATTTAAATTCGTTTAAACATATGTTAGATTGCAGGGTAGTAAAAAATTGTAAGTGAACCTATTGTTTTTGAAGCTGGACAACTAAAATTTGGTAGGAGAATTTTATAGAGATATAGAAAAAGACCTATGTAAAGTTATGTTAGTTAGATCCTACAGGGTGTTCAAAATATATTTGTCAATTTCAACTACTAAAAATTAAAAAAAATCAAATTTTTTAAATGGTACATCCTATATATTATCGTTTTTACTCATAGCTTTTACAAAACTTTTCAACTTTTAGTAAGTATGTCATATACCTATTTTTAATAGTTGGCGATTTATTCCATTTTTTTTTCTATTTTTACCCATATTTTTAACACAATTACGCTATAACATCATAGTTACCATGACAAAAACTAATAATTTATCAAATTTTCATGTCTGTTAGGAAGTTAAGAAAAAACTTGAATTTTAGTTTAATTTGTTGTATTAAATATAAATGGTAGAGATAATAGTTACAGATTTTCCTGAAATGAATTAGTCAATGTGTGTGATATAAACGAACAAGCCAAGAAAAACATAATTTTGGTTAAGTACTATATGTTATATAGTACTTCGTTAAGTAGTATAAGAATAGATTCATAAAATAAATAAATAAATAACGCTATAATTTTTTCGAAAAAACGCGTCATGTTTGTTAAATTGCAAGACAGCGCCCCCTAGCGTCTACGTTCGAAAGCTCATTTTTATTATTTATGCGGCATAATATAGAGTAAGAAACGCTCTTTTAAACGAGCCCTCACCAGTTGGATTCCGATCAACCAGTCCGGAGTTATTAACATTTAAATAAAAACAGCTCTAACCTTCCCCCACCACTTTATTTTAGCAGATAGGGGAAAATAATTCCACCAAAAAAGATCCAAACTTTACTGAAGATTATGAAGCTATTATTTATAGTACATCGTATCTATTTAGGCAAAATTTCTTAATTATTCCATTTTGTTATTTTCCATAGCATTTACGCTCTCTAGCGGCCGTTCTACAAACTTGAAAATAATTTGTCATTGTCTCTTTAGTTATAAATATTTTTTCCGCAAGCTCTACGACTAATACTTTTCGAGATACAGCCGAGAGCTATTCTTAGTAGGACACCCTGTACATACAAGTTCTTTTTTTAGAAATACCGATCGAGAGATATCAAAAATCACGAAGAAAAATTACAAGTGTATATAAATTCTTTGTTGGCCTACTGGGGAGTGACTCTGGCTACCAATTCCAATGTCGAAGATTTCAAATTCAGCGTTGATAATAAAAATTGGGGCAAATTTGGCGACGTAGTTCTAGAAATTGACTACGTCACGAGTCCTGGAGAAAAACCTATCAAAAACATTTACGCTATCAGCTTTAAGTACATATCAAACAATGCTAAACAAATTGATGACATAAACAAAGGAAAATTTAACTTTACCAAGCTGATTGCTGATACGCTTGCGTTTGAATCACGCAACAACAACGAAATAATTAAATATATAATTTTCACAACTGCAAAACCATCTGCTAATTTCCAACCTAGGCTTCGCCTAAAAATAGACGATTTTCATCAGAAAAACAGCCATTCTGACTGCAACGCAGACTATATCGACATATCTGGTAAATGTCTACATAAAAACAATATAATCAATACAGTTGATGAAAAAGAAAATGCTTTTATATTATTTTCGACTGATAAAACTCACCAACTACCAAAAGTATATTTATATACTGGTCAAAAGAAAGTTAAACGCTTTGGAATGGATATAGACGAGAAAATAGCAAAATTGTTTGTCCACAAACATATAGAAATTCACCAAGCTATTATCGATTTTATAACAGTCTGGAGTGGTCATCTTCTCGGTGGTTCCTACAAAATGAACAAAGAAGACATTTTGGTAAAATTGGGAGATTTACTCTTGGCACCTTTTGCAACAAACGCCGAAGTGACGATGGAATATCAGAATTTTAATGCTTGGAACATAGCGGTCAACTCGGTTGATGTAACTATTCTTCGAACACATCCTTTCATCTTACACAACGTTTGCAGGCCAATTAATTTTAAATTAGAACAACTTTACCAACTTAAAATCGATCCTAATCCTAAAATAGTAAGGGTACCTGAAGACAAGCTGCTGGATCTTGATAAAGCCTTAGCTATGTATTTATTTGAGGAAACAATTGGCATAACCTTTAAACATGTACCTTTAGACGTAGTATACAGGGCGTTTTGGAAGGCTGGCCTTATACCACTTATTCTCCAAGCTGAACAAAACGACGATCAAGAGTTTATAATGCAAGTTATTACGGTACTAAAAGGCCTAGGACTGGCACGTAAATACATGTTAAAAATGCCAGATTCAAATATAGAGAATCTTACAAAAAAATATAAATATCTTACCTATTTCGTTAATTTGGACGACGTCATTGAAAATTTTCCTAAAGGTCTTCTAAGTGAGTTAAAAATAGGGGTATCAGAGAAATATTCTTTAGATTTCTCGGTTATACAAGAAAACGATAAATATTTCTCTAAAAAAATCACACCCAATGAATATTTTGATCTGATCTTAGGTAACTATACTTTTAAAAAATGTTCTTATATACAATCTGATAAAGAACCAGAATGGAAACTTGTGTTAAACGATCAACTAATAAAACAGTTGGAACAGCATATTGGACTTGAGGAATATCAGCAAAATGGCTGGTTATGTGGGATTAATCCAAAATTATTTTAACAGGTTAAAGTTAATAAAAAAGCAATATTTATATTCAACACGTTTATAAAATTATAACTTTCTTTTTTGTCAGTCTTAAAGTTATATTCGGAAACACAGCACAAGTGTTACATACAGGGTGGGCCATCGAAAAAGTTCAAAAACAGGCCAATTTTGTTTGCAAGGGGGACAACTTTTGCCCCAAAAATGATTGCAAAATCTTCAACCCTCTAAGCGGGGGTGCCATCCCCAACTTTTTTTAAATGGGAAGGCTTTCTATTCTCTATATTTCCCCGCTTCACTTTTGTAAATCGGTCGAGTCATTGAGAAAATATGAAGGATTGAAATTTGAAAAGTTAATTTAAACATTTATCAGAGTAAATGATAAGGATAAATTCCTTGGACCAATTTACTGTTTTTTCTTACTATTTCTAGATGTTTACGCATTTTTTCACTTGCCACAAGGTTGAAGGATCAGGTGCGGTAGTTGCTAGATGGCTCTTTTGTGACTTGTGCGTTGAAGTTCTTCTCAATATCGTTAAAATTTTTAACAATTATGGTGTTCTCACTTGCAGAAAAAGTGGAAATAATCGAACTTTATTTTAAAAATAATGAATGTGGCAATCGGGTTGCGCAGATATTCAATGATAGCCATCCTGACAAACACCTTTATGGCAAAATTGTTCGCGAGTTAGTAGCAAAATTTCGCGAAACTGGTTCCGTTATGAATAAAAAGAGGCAGAGGGAAAATCCTGTAGTTGCCATGGATAGTACGCTGAGTACAAGAAAATTAGCCAATGAGACCGGCGCGGCGTGAATCGTACAAGTATCCAAAGGATATTAAATAAAACACAAGTTCCATCCGTACAAAATTCAGTTGGTACAAGACAGGGTTGCCACAAGCTACACAATTGTGTATTTTGCTACACATTTGTTACCATGATTGCACAGCTACACCACAATCGCCTGTGCTACACATTTTGAGAATTTGCATATTTCTTATAAAAAATACCAAAACAGTAAATCAGCTGACAAAAGCTGTTCTTTTTGCTTTCAAGTTATCTAAGTTACATTAAAAGAGACCGCAAGTGAACTTTAAATTTTGAACTGACAAATATCATTTTCCGTCATCGGTGTTCAGGTGTTCAGTAAAATGTCAGAGAGTATGAACTGGATCATGAATCAAGGACCGTCTATTGGTCGAGTCAAAAACGGTAAATAGACAGGATTGTTTAATTCCTTAAATAATACATAACACGTACTTTGGTTAGGTTTGCTCAATTACGTCATCGTTACGTCACACTTCCACTTGTTGGAATAAGCGAATAATATTCAATTCCTATTTCACTTCCTCCCATATCAGAAAGAACTGCGGCTTCTAAGGACAAATTTGGCCGATTAAACAGTCCTGAATTGTTTACAATTTTTAAACAGACTTTTTTAACCGGTCTAATTTGTACATAAAATCGTTAGTTTCGTGACATCAATTTTGACGTCGTTGCAATATTTGCTGGCATCTTTGAATAAGAAGACTGAGGAAGGAGCATAATGCTATCCATGTATTCATGCATGGTGGGCAGAAAAAGCACTCTAGGGTGGGGATCCTTGACAGTTCTGTTTGACGATTCATTTGACACATTTGAATTTGATTTGAAATTTTATGGATTTGTCAGTCTTTACGGAGCTTATTTTATGTTATTTATTATTTATTCTACTACTGATAGTTGTATAAAGGTAGTAAATCTAGATGGAAATTGTGGCAGAACTTAAATTAACAGTGACACTATCGCGATTTATCTAAAAAGACTCTAAAATAGTTGGTTGTGTAGCGTGCGGTGGATCTCGGCAAAAATCGAGTGAAATGGTGGAACAACTTTTCACTAGTAAGTGACTATATAATATACATACGTGTAGTAAATCGATCATTTATGAAATTCACTTAAATTAACTAATTATATATTTTTTCTGCATTTTTGCTTTTATTTACTACTTGTCAAAGATTAGATGTCAAAGAATTTAGATACGTCAATTTGATTTACCAGATTTACCTGCTTCAGTAGCGTATCGGATGTTTGTGTTAATAAGTAATTATTATAACTTATCTATTTTTATTAGAATTATATATTTTTGTAACAATTTTAATAACTACCAACATTTATTCACAACGTCAAATAAAACAACATATTATTGAGTCTACCCCACGTCTACCCTACATCATAGTTTTACATTTTTTAAATAAAATTAGAACGGCACTGATAAACCGGAATTTAAGTCGGCCATATTTGAGGCCCATCGCGGTGGACCTAAGATTTTTAATATGCTCCTTCCTTAGTCTTCTTATTCAAAGGCTGGCATAAAAGGAAATGAAATGGGAAATGAATATATTGACGTATACAAACGAGTGGAAGTGAGACTCGTAATTATGCTTTAAAATTTGGCGAACGTACGTCTTATTCTTGGTCTTATTGGATAGTTTACAATTATTGGTCATGGATGGCAACACAATGCTACACATTTTTATGGTCAAGTTCTACACAATCAAAAAATTTCTTGTGGCAACCCTGGTACAAGAACTCAACGAAGACGATTTTGATCGTCGCGGGCTGGTATTTTTGGAAATTCTATTGTAGGTCAGTTTAACGATATTGAGATCGCACTTGATTGTTCAACCTTGTTACAAGTGAAAAAATGCGTAAACATCTAGAAATAATAAGAAAAAACAGTAAATTGGTCGAAGGAATTTATCCTTATCATTTACTCTGATAAATGTTTAAATAAACTTTTCAAATTTCAATCCTTCATATTTTCTCAATGACTTGACCGATTTTCAAAAACGAAGCGAGGAAATATAGAAAATAAAAAGCTCTTTTCATTGCGGTGCCACTTGACCCCCCTTCCCATTTGAAAAAAGTTGGAGGATGACACCCCCGTGTAGAGGGTTGAAGATTTTGCAATCATTTCTGATATATAAAGTGTTGTTTATTCAAACGTCACAAAAGTATTAATTTTTGCGACGTGATTGACAATATTAAAAAGGCAATTTAACGCATATGCATAAAAGTAAAGCACTTTTACGCTTAAACACAAAAGTACGAAAATATATTATTAAACTGACATAAAGTGTGTCAAATTCAAAGGGTGTAACCATAGTTTATCGATAATATAATTACTTACCTTGGCTTTTAAATCATCTTATATTATTTGCAACGTTTGAAATTAATTAAAAAATTAATTGCCACGTTTGAAAAAAAATAGCATGTTCTATTCGGAGTAAAAATTACTTTTTGTGCCTTACTTGTAATTTTGGTCAAAAGTACTCTCTCCTCACGAAGAGTATCATTTTTACTCCTAATAAAACAATCCACTATTATAAGTAGTTTTAATAGTTATAGTCTGGATATTTTATTTTATACTAATCTGAAAATAAACTATTCATAATCAAAACTTGGCTTTATTTTATCTAGATCTAAAGATCTTTTATGGATTTTTTATAAAACAGTATCTCAATATTTTATCGCAAACTTTTAATATTTCATTAAATAATTCTTTGAGCATGTCCCATGCCTCCCCAATGAAAATTTTTTGTAAAAGATATATCACAAACTAAATTATTTTTATTTTTTATGTGGATCGCAGTGTGCAATTCATTCATTTAATTGTGGAATTACAGTTATAAAATAATATAGCAGTGGAAAATATTCTAGAACATTGTTTTTTATCTAATATATCTTATATTTTTATGAACAAAATATATAAATATGAATAAAAAAAGTTAGAAAAAATATTTCTAGATGATTTGACTAACGTTCACTTTGAATAAAATGTAGTGAAAATTTAGTTCTAGTACTTGGCAACATTGTTGAGTGCCCGAGTAAACAAGTGGGAAGTAGACGCTAGTTATAGTTCTCTATCTATATCCTCGAGGGAGATTTCCGGTCGAAGGATGATTGGTGAAGGAAATTCAATCCAATCCATTGTGCCATATGTCTTATTTGGTTGTTCATAATTGTAGAGCAAGAAGTCCGATCCAGAGCCGTACAGCATCGAACAGTCCAGATATTTCTATTATTTCCTGTTGACCATGTAGAATTACCTGTTGGATATATCATAAACCCTCGTTGAGGTAAATTTCAGCTCTATTTAGTCTTTTTTGTACAAAAACTATCTGTATATTTAACTCGAGTTCCTACATGTTATGCTGTTCTATAATTGATGCTCTTTTCTAAGACAATTTATTTAGTTGTTTTTTATGTTCATCATCTGAAAACTCAACAATTTGCTTCCATCTGAGTGGTTGACGACAACCGTGGGCTTCAGTGACAATTCGCCGTGCTGCTGTACACCGTCGTAGCTATACATCATAGCTAGACATCACCGACCCTTATAACTACATACCGTAGCTAAGTCGGATGAAGTTTCAAGTAGTTTCGAGTAGTGACACCTTTTGAGTAAGACTGTTTTAATTAGTTAGTTTTGATTCGATATTTGTTAAACCACCTATAATTGTATTTTAGTCTTCAGATAGATAAGGGGGTTGACATCATAAGTTTAAATATTTCGTACACATTAAAATTCTGGTTTAATTTAATTTTAATTCTCTCACATTCATTTTAAATTTCATTAATTTCTATTTATATGTTAACTTTTTGATTTTTTAATAAATTGTTTAAATATATTTACTTGCTTTATTTACAGTCTAGTCTCATAGTTAGTTAAAGTCACTCAAGTTAAAATAGTAATTAGTATATTAGAAGTTCAGGGTAGATACACTCAATAGTTCGAGATTAGTGTTGAAGTTTTGCTTAATAATTCTATCTTTTATACTGAGTTCATAGAGTATAATCTCGTGGCGCCATTTTATTACGATCTTTGAACCTCGACCACCCGGCTGTTAAAATTAAAAGCTAGTTTCCTCTATGTAACTCATCTTGTCTTAAGTAAACTTTGTACAAACGCAATACATTTACTTTTTAATATCTTAGCACAAACTACTAAATACTATTATTATATCCAAAAATATATTATATATATATAATAATTATACACAAAAATAGTACTAAATTATGAAACAACCGTAGGTTCTTCATTTTCGTCCTTTTTAAGTTTTTTCCGTTCCGTATTTTTTGTTGTATTGGCGCTATACGTAAAGCCGGGTCAACATATGTAGCACTCTATTGTATCAGGATCATGTATCACGTATCAAGAGT